TCCTAGCATCAGATGGGGAGTAGAGCAGGACAGAAGACAAGAAATGCCTACGCCTCATTTTTCTGCTGAATGAAGACAGAAGGACATTGCAGAGGAATAAGCCAAGGAGATCTGGGGAGACTGGGGACATGAACTGGGGCCCAAGAATGGAGGGTCAGTAAGAAACCTGAGTCATCATCAGAAAAGTATTTTGGGTGAAAATTTTAGAGATAAGGAGCATCTACAGTGGAAATGGAAATCTTGAAGGAATTGAATGGATCCAAAGCAGAGAAGGAAGAAAGGAGAGCAAAGAGCCTGTGTGATGCTAGGTAATGGGAACCAAGGGAGAGCCTTCTGGATAATACCTCAACGGAAGAGAAAGCTGGGTACCAGCAACAAGTGGAAGTGAAGGAAAAAGGAAAGCACCAGGCAAGTGCTGCTGCCTGTGTAGGACTGTTAGGCAGAAGAGGATAAAAAATAAACCTACTATAGGAAGTGCAATCTAGGACGCATGAAGCAAGTGAAATGCAAAACCTTCGGGGAAGCTCAGGAGCAGCTTTAGAGGAACCGCAGCAGGGGTGGTTACTCTGGGACACAGTGGGGAGAGCTCTGGGAGGAAGGCTGGAGGCAGGCCCAGGGCAAACGCCAGGGAAAAGCAGAGGAAAAGGATGAAGAGGATTAGAGGATGAGGGAGAAAAGCTCCTTGGGTTGAGGAAGAGCTACAGGAACAAAAAGGAGAAGCAGAAAGGAGCCAAAGGCTGCGGCTAGAGATCAGAGAGCAGGTCCCAGGAGAGGACAGGGTTGTTGGAGGGGAGGGTGCTGAGGTCGGCAGCCCAGGCTAGGAGCTGTGAGCCCTGCTGGCAGCGAGCAGCAGGAGCTTGCATATTCAGCAAGTCAGGCGGCAATTAATTAAATCTAGCCAGGCAGCAATCGGTCAGTTAAATCGGGTAACAATGACTCAATTAAGTTGAACTGGGGAACAATGAACTTATTACATCAAACCAGAGAACAACGAACTGATTAAATCAGCTGGAAGCCTCCGTGGTACATCCGGAGCCCGGGCTAGCAGCCACAGGAGCAGGGGGATTCTCGCTGCAGCTGCCTGCTTCAGGAGAAACATCACAGCAGTGACCGTGCATCGCTGCTGACAGCCCTCCTAGTCCCCCTTCGCCCAGAGCAGGTAAAGAAAGACACGGCAGACTACATCTGGTCTGATGAAATATCTGTAATAAACCAAAGGGGTGGGGAGGTGGAAACTGCCAGCTTCCAAATTAGCAATAGCATTGTGAAAATTACGGGGCTGCCTGAGGATGGGGAAGGCCCTCCCTTCCAAATCTGGGTGATGCTGGATATCCGGAGCTGTCAGCTTAAGAAATCACCTGAGAGACGAGTGCCTGCCCTACCTTCGATGAGTGAGAGGTGCACTTTCCAGTGGTGTCCCAGATGAGCATGGCTATTAGGGCACTTGTACTGAAATGTCTGTGTGTGTCTTTTTTGAAGTAAACACTACAAATCACATGGATTGGCATGAGTCAGGCTGCTCATGTCCTAGCGGTACAAGGAACCCTTTTCATCCCCTTTCACTGGTCTCCCTTATCATTTGAGTTTGTGGTGTTGGTCTTTTTCTGTTCCTTCTATCTCCACAAGCAGTTACCCTACAAGAAAGCACTCCATCTGGGGTGTGTATGTCTTGGGCTATGCCATGAATATCAGTTAACCGAAAATAAAAGGGAAAGTTTCATTGATGAGGACAACCTGAGCTCAAAAAGATATGGGTAGGAGCCATCTGCCCCATTGTTCAAACAAAGTGCAATCCCAATTGTTCTGTGAAAGTACCTGTAAGGTCGCTGCTGGTGGGGAAAAGTAGTCAGGCATTAGTAGCAGTACAAATGCTTTAGGAGCTGCAATGGTTAATGAGCAGCTAAATTACATGGACAACCTTTATAACACCACACGTTTTCATTAAAGTAATTACACTGCAGAGGAAGTGACTCTTTGGGTGTCGTTTCTGGATAGATGAGGTCTTGGGATTTCCAAAGAGTATGTAAACCGGGGCTAATACAATCCCCGTAAGAGTGTCTGCCAATAAATTAAAATAAATGTCAAAAAGAGCAGATTCCTAAGCAGCGTACAAGAGGGATGGTGCTACATTCAAGATTTTGTATATAGTATCAGCACCATATGAATGCCTGTTGCATCCAAACAAAATGTGCCATGAGAGAGCATGCACTTTGAGGCGCACCTACACAATACTGTCACACCGTGCACTTTTTCCTCCTCTGAATGGCTAAAATAGTCAGAAGGCTACAAGAGTATAAATAGAGATATGAAGGCTTGGAAAGGAACCAGAAATCTGCAATAAGGAAAAAACTCCCACTTCTAGTCCTCAGTGCAATTCTTGACCTGAGGTCTGCCATGGGAAAATGGAAAAGGAAGTTCCTGGTGATTTTTTTCTCCTTTTTTCATTCCTTCTGAATTATAAAAATACTGAGAAGTTGGAAAAGTTTTGTGCAAATCTTCAGTCTGATGAACTATATGAAAACAATGTTAAAATTTCAGTTGGAAGTTCCAGCTGTCTCAAGCTCTGGTTTGCTTAGGGTGGTCACAACAAAAACTTGAACTACACAAGCTTTTTTAAAAAGCTGCTAATGATGCAAATGTTCTTGTAGGATATCCAGCTTTACTTGCGACTATGACCTTCTAGACAATGTTATGCACTGGCAAAGAGACTGGCTTCCCTTCCTTCCCCCTTTTAACTTAAAAATTATGTCAACAAAAAGACTTTACTCATTCACATTATAATGCACAGCTGCAGCTCTTACAGGAGGAGGAGTTGTCATAGCTCAAAAGTAATGAATTTACATGTATTTATTTCACAGGTTTATCAAGCAGTACTTCTTCTATGCTGACTAAATTACACATAAGCCATTCCTCGTCTGTAAAAAAATAAAAACAATTTAATTCCAATATGTAGACAATTACTAATTATATTTCAGCCTTTCTTCCATAATTAAAGAGAAAATCATAGGATTATAAAACCCTTTTCATGTTCCTTAAATTCCCAGCACTTATACATTTTGTGTTCTCGTATCCCTGGCATCATTACTTATAATTGGAGTCAAACAGCAGGCTGACACTACCAGGTGGGAGAAGTAGCATCTGACACCGTGTGTAAGTACATAGAAAGGTGAAAAAAATGACCTGGCAGAGAAGAGCCTGACCCCTTGCTCCCCAGTCACATCAAGTCCACTTGCTGCTTCCCACCATGGTTCCAGCTACAGAACTGCTTTGGAAATTGCCTCCTTTTGGGAACACAGAACATCATGGAAGAGTTTTTTGCTGCCAGAACTATGGGCTTTTGCTCTAGCAGAAAGGCCAGATGTTGGCATCTGACTGCAACACCCTCCCGAAGGCAGTGCAGGAAAGACCTGCCTGCAAGGCAGATAGGAGAGATCTGTGCCATGTCCTGCCCGTGGCTCATCTCCTTCAGGTAATTTCACCGTCTTGGCTTCACACGTTTCTCATAATACTTTTCCTGTTGTAAAAAAACTTTTTTTTGGCAATAAATGTGGACTTACGAAACAGCACAAACTCAAAATCCTCTGCTGAAGATAAATATACACAATCTTTAAAAAGTTTTGACCTGGGAATGACAGAGGGGACACATTCTACTTTTTAGAGGTCACTGAATCAAGCTGGAACGTGACTGGAGAAGGAAAAACACAAGTCCCAGATGTCTCCTCCAAAGTTTTTCTTACACAGAGAGGTGGGCTTCCCTTTCACAAAGTACAGCCACATGGCCAGGTCCTGAGGCACCTCCCTTCCTCGTACGCGCTATATGCGTGAACCTTGAACGTCGTCTGAATGCACAACTTCCACAGAAGGCAGTGAGCGACGGAAGACTCAGGCCTGAGGTATTTATGCCTGTCTAGCTCAGCGCAGCATCATGTATCTTGGGCCTGGTCCTGCAGATGTGGCAGTGACCTGACTCCAGCTGGTGCAAGCACCGAGCCCCTGCAGATGCTGAGTAATGGCTGAGTGGTCTGAAGGAATTGCTGATCCTGCTCAGACCAGGAGGTCAGGCTAGAGACCTCCTGAGATCCCCTCCAACATGAATTTCCCTGTGGTTCTACCATGCAGGTTGTGTGGAGCGAGGTGCGAGGATGAAGGATGAGTGCCACAGAGACAGGGGGTGATTGAACCAGAGCTGACGGCACTTTTCCTTCGAATGTCAGGATTGAGTTATTTGTGCCAGACACTTCTACCTCTTAAACCTGAGCATGTGATCAAATAAACTATTGACTTTTGCAAAAGATTTTCGATTTATTTATTTACTTTATTATTCTAGGAAGTGGAAATAAAAGACAGAAGGATTCAGCTGGAAGTGGTTTGCCATCTGAACCCTTATACCAGTACCCTAACCAAGTGCAAACACATGTCCAAACCCTGAGGAAACGTACTACTGTGCTGTATGTTTTCTGCAGAAATTTAGGTGGAGGACTAGAAACCATTCATCTAGTTCGACGTGCATGCGTGCAAGATGGAGAACTCCAAGTTTCAGGCAGGGATTTTTGAACCCAAAGGTTAAGAAACTGAAGTGTTTCCTCAGCAACTGTATGCCTTGGAAACAGAAAACTCTGCAAAGTAGGTCTTGGAGTGACACAGATCTGCAGCCCGCTGGAAGCCTGCAGGCTTCTCGGGTGCTGCTGTAGCATTTCAATCACCTTTTAGGACAAACTTCGGAAAGCCAGTGGCTCTGGGCTTTTCGGCTGCCGTTTGCCAGTCATTTTGTAATGATTTTCATAAGTAAAGGCCTGGGTTTGACGAGGCAGAGCACGGGGCGGGGGACGGAGCGGGGCAGGCGCACGGGAGAGCCCCCTCAGAGCCGGGCCCCGCCGCGCGGCCGGGCGCCCCCATGCCCAGGCCCCGGCCCCGGCCCGCCCGCTCCCCGGCCCGGCCCCGGCGGGCGGAGGCGGGCTCGGGGCGGGTTAAAAGCGGCGGCAGGTGAGCGGGGAGGGACCTCAGAGCGGCGGGGCGGTGAGCCGGGCACCGGCCGCTCCGCTGACACCGCCGGACCCGCAGCCGAGCCCAGAACGGGGTAGGGGGCTCCCGGGGCGCTCCTCTCCCTCTGCGGGCACCCCCGGGGCAGGTGAGGGGCGAGGGGGGGAGCTGGGGCCGGCCGCCGGGGGGGCGGCTCCGCGGTGCCCTCCGTGAGGCGAGGGCCGGGGCCGCCCGGTGAGGGGCCGGGAGCCGCCTCAGCCCGGCCCCGAGCCCTGAGGCGCTGCCCGGGCTCCCCTCAGCTTCTTCCCTTCCTCAGTTTCAGCGTGCTCCAGAGTGCCTCAAACCTCTTTTTTTCTCTCTTTTTCCCCCCAGTTCTCAGTCAGCAGCTCTCGGCGAGCACGTTATGTGAAGCACCCGGCCGGCTCCAACCCCGAGCGAGCTAAAGGCTTCCGCAATTACAGGTAATTCGCGACACACCTATACCTGCCGAGAGCTGCACCGAGACAAACAGCTTGCATCAGGGCAGCCGGCAGAGCACCTGGGCACACACGGCAAGCATTCCTCAGAATCACAGCGGGGTAGGAAATGAGAGGCTTGAGTCAGAAATAAACCCATCTCTGGGTGTCGGGGTGGACGGGATTGCGCGAGGACTGAGTGCTCAAGTGCTGTTTCCATAAAACTCAAAAGATGTGTTGGAGTAAGAGCAGGAGTGCTTACTTGGCACGCTGAAGCGGATGGCGCTCGGCTGCTTTTGGGTGGCATTCAGGGTACGGCTGTTTTTCCTGTCAGTGGGCTTTCCTAGGTGTTACTCCTCTTATCTCTTGTGTTGAAGAGATAAGAAGAGTAAGAAGAATCCCTTTCTTCATTTATTTACTTCTTATTCCCCCACCACCACCACATAGGGATGTATTTTTGTCTTGCGCTCTATTACATTTTACCAGACAACACGGAAATATTCTGAGAGCAGGCAGAGGGCTGAAAGAAGGAAGTTGCCTTTTGTCTTCAGTGTGCTCTTTTTAAACCCTGTCTCTCTGACTTCGATCACCAGCAAGCTTGCTGCTGAGTGTGGTTTGTTTGCAGTGGTATATGGGTTTTGGTCTGGTTTGTACTTGTGTTTACCACAACATATGTATGTGTGCTGAGCTAACAGTAGAACAAAATACAGTATCATCCTTGTTTGTGTTAGTGAAGTTAACGTAGTTTCTAGCTTCCCTTGATGATCAGCCTGGAAACCCTGCTTGCTGAGAGGTTTGACCTGAAGTAAGGTAGGAAAAGCAGCAGGCAGAAAGGTGTGCAGACATATGTAGAGACAGACAGCTGAGGACAAGACAGTGGTGGCTCAAGCCTCAGCCTTCTGCGGTAAGGTTGGAGGAGACACCTCCATATGCCAGCTGGGGTTTACAGTGTATTTTTCTAGGTGAGATTTACAGCATGCTTACAAAGCTGTGAGACTGTTCCTTTTAGAGCACATCCATCAGGACTTCAGTCCCCAGAACTGTTAGTCTCTTCATTGGTAGAAGGACTACATATCAGAGACTAAAAACAGAACAATAAAAAGTCATGAATTGAGATACATCTCAGGAAATACTCATTTCTTTCCTGATGGGGATAGTTGTCTCAGGTTTCTGAAGCTTGGGCCTCTGCCCATGTTGTTGTTTTGCATCACTTGAAGTCTAACCCAGACAGATTATTTGGGTGGCCTCATTTAATTTTTACGAAAAGTAAGTATACAGTGAAAAAATACAGATGGTAAACTAGCAGCAATTTGTGGTTTAAGTTATTCTAAAAAGCATTTCATTCATTCAGTTGACTTTGTCAGTATAAAGGACACTTTATAAGTTGGGTTTTTCTTCTTGGTGTTCCTGTGAACAGTTTCAGTGAAAGAAGTGGTTTGAGAAGCTTCAGCAAACAGGAGCATGGATTGATTTTTTGTTTTTCTTCTGCTGTTTTTCCTTCTGTTTGTCACTGCTTTTAATTGCTGTGATGACGGATAACTTATCTAAAAGGAGAACTGAGTCTTGCCTGACTAAACAGTCTTTTGCGTAAAGAAAAGTCTGAAGTGATGATACATGAGGAAAGATAAAGTGCTGTCAAAACAAAAGGAGTGGGGAGAAAAAAAAACACACATCTATTAATAGCTAAAAGAAAGTTGAAAACTGATTCTATTCCTGACCTCATGCATGGTTCTTCCTGTAATAGATGTTTTTAAAGGAAAAGCTTGATTTCTATCTCTGTTTTTGTGAAAAGAGATGCTAACAAAATACCCATTCAAAGAAAAACTAGTCTGCAGTATAAAATCATCATGTATATAAACTTATTCTGTATTTCTGAAAGGGTGCAAGCTTTGTGTGTGACAGACAGTAACTTGCCAATGCATGGTGAATTTGTAGAGGGGAATATTGGATGTTTGCCTCGGGTGGGGGAGAAGGAATAAGAATTAAATAACTAGTTTTTTAAAAAAAAAAATCTCTGCAAATAATGCTGCTATTTTCATGACTGGGAGCAAGGCATAGTGCACCAAAGATGTTCTTTAAAAATGGGGAAATAGGATGCCAACATCAGTAAAGAAATGATTCTCAGGAATTTGAGTTCTTCTTGAAGCAAGAAGTTTTAAGCTGTCTTTCCCTGCCAACCTTTCCTTCAGAAATGGCTGACGGGCTGAATTCCAGTTGGAATTCTTCTGCCGTGCTATGCCTTCAGGCACGACTGGTTTTTCTGATGCCCATTTTTCCACAAGCGGAGTGAATCTTGTGCAGAGATGCTTTGGAGGATGCTAATTCTCAATTTAATTTACAGTAGTGGGCTGGAGGAGGAGCTACACATGTTTCTGAATGTGCTTGGGAAATGGCTTAAAGTCTGTAAGGGCATGAACATGGGACAGGCTTAATGCGGCAATCGGTGTGGAGCGGAGCCCTTAAATGTTGATAATTACTTAGCAATGTTTTTAACACTTAACTGCATGTGTGTGGGGTCATAATCTGTTGTGTTAAAGGCTATTTCTGGGTTTTACAGGAGGCTTAGAGCAAAATATGCATCCTGTTGCCATAAACTTGAGTAGAAGAAATGTACAATGCTTGCTGTGTTCAGACCTGCAGCTGTCAGAGGTTTCCTGTTCCTGATTAGTCTTTGCCTGCTCCTGTGTCAAATCAGATAAACTGTAACTCCTGTCTGTCCTGGCTCTTCTGTTGCTCTCCAGTTTCCACTGTGATCTGCAGATAGGTGTTCAGAAGAAAGTTTAGGAGCTACTAGAGAAAATTTCACAGGCTTTTGTGACTGTTAGGCTGTTCTTTTGATACTTACTCTACTTAGTAAAAAAGTAGAGCTGTTGACACTTCAGGAGCATGCAGCTGGAACATTCTGAATACCCTGCTGTAAAATTAAAATAGCTGGAAGTTTAATAGTGAAATGAAAGGATTTTGGTTTGGCAGTCTCTAGATTGGAGCTGCATCTTACAGTGTGTACTCCACATTGAAGCTATAGCAATGTGGGGAGCTGTGTTCTTCAGCAGTGGGAACATGCTGAACGGATTTAAGCTCTGTGCTTCAACTTGAAGCTGGTTACTTATCTGTTACTTATTTGTCTCAGTGCACTGATAATGAAGTATGAATCTGTGCAGCCCACAGTTGTAGTGGGGCACGGCAGACCAACCCTGTGAGATAGTGAGGCTGTTATCCCACTTGGTGTCTGGGAAACTGAGGCATGGCACAGACTTAAAGGTAAGTAGGTGGTCTGGGAGTTGGCAGCTAAGGGCTGTGGCTGCTGTGCCAGCCTTTCGTGGTGAGATAAAAGGGTGCTGCCTCAGGAAGAAGTTAAATATCTTCTTATTAAGAGCTTCCTGGGATCTGCCCTGGTAATACTTTGTGTTTTGTTTTCAGTACAGCACCAGAACTAACTCAACAACATAATAATCTTCACACTTGCACTCTTGCTTACAAATAACTTCGCTCTGCAAACATAGAGCCTAGGTTATGCTGATAACAAGCTGCTGAAATCCAGATTTGGCTGTTCTCAGATTTGGATAGGAGACAGCTGTAAGGCACTTTGGTGCTGGTGGCAGCCCCTCTGCTCACTGGTGCTTCCAACCTAACTGTCTAGATCAAGACCTGAAGGGAAGATTGTATCAGCAGAGCTGTTAAACAGGTGTTGTACCTCAACAAACAGTAATACGTTCTTGTGTGAACGTGGGCCATAAAATAGCTTTTACCTTGTGTCTGTGGGCCATAAAATAGCTTTTACCTTTTATCTGAAGCAGATCAGATGTTCCAAAGCTTTCTTCTTGGATGAAATTGTGCTGGAACTGCCACTCTCAGGCATCTGAGTTACCTCTCTGGCCAAGACCAGTGAGTGCTTTTTTGCTTAAAGTTTATCTCAGCTAATGCATTCCTATGTTGAATAAAGTGACATTTCTTTGTAGACTACTGATCTTATATCTGTATCTGGAGGCACTATGGAAAGTGGCAGTGTCACACCAAACTGGTAACTCTTGGTACTCTTAATAATGTATTTTACGTTGTTTTCACCTTTGCTGTACTTCTAAACTGTGTATGCTGAAGCCATGGCTTTAACCATTGACTAATGATTTCTCAGTGTAACAGTTCTTAAGAGAGTGGGGGGGGGAAGCATCTGCTAACTAGCTGTATTCCTAAATGCTGGTGCTTAAAGGCATCTGTCCTTGGTCTTGTGAATTGTAGGGATTTCAGTGGGTGTATGCAGAATGCTGTGATTGCAGTTTAATGTAGACTTACAGGAGTTATTTTAAGTAGTAACCTGTCTAGTCCTGGCAGCATGGAGCTCAAGACCTGCCCAGAAGTTGGGGAAATAGTTAAAGCTTTTTTCTCCTAACAAGCTTGGGTCCAGTTATAGGCTAGACAGCAGCAAGATGAGAGCTACAGTTCATGTGCCTCTCCATGGGTTGTGTGATCATCTAGAACTACTTCCTTCGTTGCTAGCTCTTTGGTGTCTTTGGTGGAGCATGGTGATCTTGAGAGTGACCATTAGAGATACCATTAAACTCCTACTGAAACAGCCAGCTGTACTATCCTGCTCCTCTAATTTCTCAGATGGAGGAACAGAAGGTT